ATGCGCTGTTGCCTCCGACTATGACTTAAGGCGCTATGAATGAAAGTGCTCCAGGAGGCCCCATCCATGGCCGCTCTTCTCAGCTCCTGTGAATTCAAGGCTTCCTTTATGGAGCCATTCCATCTCATATTTTGTCTTCAGTTTCTTTTGCTGCCTTCAGCTTTGCCCAGCATTGTTGTTTTCTCCTGTGAGCCTTGCCTTCTCATGATGTGTCCAAAATATGACAGCTTTAGTTTTGCCAGTTTTGCTTCCAGGGAAAGTTCTGGCCTGGTTTGATCTGGGACCCACTTGTTCGTCTCTCTGTTAGTCTGGGGTATTTAGAAAGTGCTCCTCCATGTTTTGAATGCTTCAATTTTCTTCTTGACAACCCTCTTCACTGCCCAGCTTTCATACCCACACGCACTGACTGGGAATGTGATGGTGTGGATGATCTTGGCTTTGGCTTCCAGTGAAGCATCCTTACTTTTGACGACCTCTTCCAGTTCCTTCATGTAGTCTTTCCCAGTTTCACTCTTCTTCAAACTTCTTGGCTGCGAGCTCCCTTTGAGCCGACGACTGAGTCAAGGTGTACAAAATCGCCCACCGCCTTGGTTTCTGCATTGCTGCCGGTGAGGTGCTGTGGTTCGCCTGCAGTCGTGATGCTTGCTTTCCTAATGTTCAGCTGCAGCTTCACTTTCACCGACAGTTGCTTCAAGCCATCGCTACTTTCTGCCACGTGATTCCACCACGGTGCTTCTTACACTATTGATGTGGCCTCTGCCAATGTTCACTCGCATACAGTTCTGTGTACAGAGGAGAGAGGGGGTAAAATGCAGCCTCGTCTGATGCCTGTGCCTTTAGGAAACCATTCTGTTTCTCCTTGTTCTAACAGTGGATTCTTGTCCACAATGCCAGTTACGCATCAGAACAATCAAGCGCTGAGGACACCCGTTTCTTTCAGGACCATCCACAGCTTCTCGTGATCCACAGTCAAAGGCTTTGCTGTAGTCTATAAAGCATAGACTGACCTTCTGTAATCCTTTGTTGAATTCCAGTAGCCAAAGTGTATTTGCAATCTGATCTTAAATGCCTCTTTCTTGCCAGAATCTAGCTTGCATTTCTTGCTCCATACAGGGAAAAGATCTTTGTTGCAATGTAATACTAAAATCCAAAGGGAGCATCGCATGAAACTGACTGGTGGGCAATTCTGGACAGAGGAAAGGAAGTTCTTCACACAGTTCTGTGTGAAGGGGTGATGGCCTTTGTGCAGACTCTGGGGGAGAAGGAAGACTATCCCCGTTAGTTCTGCAGCTCCTCTCCACAGCCTTCAGTACCATCAACCATGGTCTTCTTCTGGAACACCTGGCTGGCTTGGGGCTGGAAGGCACTGCTACGTCCTTCCTGCAGGGGTGATGTCAGAAAGGTGCTTCCAGGGAATTTCTGCTTGATGCGGAGGCTCACACTGCCCCCCTCCCCCCCCATGCAATTTAGCATACACAGAAGTCCCTGGGAAGAGTTGCCTCGAGTCTGGGGCTTTGGTCCACCAATATCTAAGGACACCCTACTCTGTGACTGGGTTTGCATGACCCTGGAGGAGAAATATGGTGCACTGGCTTATAGTCCCTCTGCAAGGGCTGGCTGTCCACTGCCTCATCAGCATAATTTGCCGATTGTGGGTTGCTGTGATGCCCAAGCCTGGGAGCAGAGATGGCCGGAAAGGTCCACAAACCGCCCTGAAACCCGTGGCTGATTCTAGGGTTGCCAGGTGATGTGTGAGTCACCCCAGCCAGCCGCCATTACTGGTTTGGATGTCATGTCAACCTGTGCCCCCTGATCTCATTCACTTGTTTGTGACTTGCACATGTGGGGAAGGAAGACAAGCCACAGTCAGTCTCTTTCTAGCCACAAGGATATAAACCTGCCCACTCTCTCTTCCCTAAACAAGTCTAAGGCAGCTGCTCTGGTTCTCCTGTAGGCAAACATCTGGCCAGGCTGAGGTCCACCTGGGCGCTCAAGGAGTGGGGCTTTGGCCTGTGCCAGGCAAGGTCACTCCCCCCTTGCAGCCAGTCCTTGCGCTTGGGGGCCTTTGTGCAGGTGAGGCCACCTGACCAGCTATGCTCCTTCGTGCAAGAACAGAGGAAAACGAGTGGGGCAACGCAGGCCTCCGTCTTCGACGTTTTTCTTAATGATTTGAATGAGGAAGTACAGGGAACGCTTGTCAGATTCGCAGACGACAGAGAATTGGGTGGAAGACAGAAATAAAATTCAAAGTCATCTCAATAGCTTGAGCTGCATTAGTACCAGGGTAGCTTCCGGATCATGTGGGTACTGATTCTCCTCTGTTCAGCACTAGTTGGGCCCCATCTTCAGTATTGTGTTCATTTCTGGGCACCGTTGTTTAAGAAAGGTGCAGGCAGGCTGGAAAAGGTTCAGATGAGGGCAGCAAGGATGATCAGGGCACTGGAAACAAAGCCCATGAGGGCAAATAGAAAGAGCTGGACAAGTTTAGCCTTGAGAAGAGAAGGCGGAGGGAAATCGTGTTTTTCAAATACTAGAAAGGCTGCCACACAGGAGCGAGCCAGGGTCTTTTCTCAGTCATTCCACAGTGCAGAACATGGAAAAACAGGCTCGAGTTACAGGAAGCCAGATTCTGGGCAGACATCAGGAAAAGCTTCCTGACTGTTAGAGCAGTACAGCGATGGAACCTGTTGCTTTATTATTCAGATTGTATCCTGCTCTAATAGTCCCACAGGTTTCTCTAAGCGGTGGACAACGTATTGCCTAGGAATGTTGTAGGTTCTCCCATGCTGGCAGCCTTTGAGAGGCAGTAGGGCTGGAGTTCTGCTCGGAGCAGGGAGTTCGGCTCGAGGGCCTTCCTGGCCCCTTCCTACTTTACTGTTCTATGATTCTACGATCACTTTCTAATATTGCAGGGTTTTTCTTCAAAGTTCTGTCATTTCTAATCTCTTCTGAATCATTCTTCTGTAAACTGTTTCCACCCTCTTTTTATATTATCCTCGTCAGATAGTATGTTTCTCTATTTGTCTAGGTTTGAATTTTCCTTTGATTTCTTGGATCTCCTGGAAGCACTACTGCTATTTGTTCTTCACCTTTCTCCAGTGGGTCATAAAGTGCCTTCCACGATGGGGAAGGTCTTATCTTCTGGTACAGAATCATAGTAGAGTTGGGAGTAGCCAGAGGGCCATCGGGTCAACCCCCAGCGCAGTGCAGGGCACTGAGTTAAACCATCCCTCTCAGATGGCCTGCACCTGGTATTATCCCTTGTTTCATTTTGGATTGTTTCAAAGGTTTCTCAAGGTAAGAAAATTCAGAAGTGGAGTAGCACCTTCTTCTGTGGAGTACTAACCTGAGGTGGGTTGATCATCACTGCCACTGTCTGTGATTGATCCTCTGCCGGTGCCACCTGCAACTACTGCTGCTGCCCACGAGCTGACTTTCACAGAGTTTCTCTGGCCCCATCAGAGAAACCTTTTTTGTTTGCTGATGTGTCTGTTGTTCCTGAAGAGGATGGATGCATCTTAGTTTGGTGTTGTGGCCCTAACCAGTCTGCAGTGTTTGGAAACCGTGCCTGCCCCCGAGTCTTACAGGGCCAGTTGCAGAAAGCTGGCGATTGCCTTGTGGGAAGTTTCACCGGCTCCCTCTCTGGATGCAATTCTGAGTGCTTATTATGACCTGCACAGCCCCAGGTGACATGGGGTCACTCCGTCTGAAAGGCACAAGGACAGCGTTCGCCTTGAGGAGTGTCTGGTTCTGAGATCCTTCCAAGGAAATGTTTGCTGAACTAGGCTTTCAGCTGAAGAGGCCTGTTTATCCCTTCTCAATTAACGCGGCTACATTACAGTTGTATAACACATTCCTTTTGACAGAACGGAGAGGCATGACTCAGTGACTGACAGCCAAGTGCCACACTCTGCAGAGCTGCACGAGGGAAGGTGAGGACCTGGGTGCTGCCCAGGCAGGGGCCATTCCCACAGCGCTCCTGCAGAAGTCCCAGCAGACGGGCTCCTGCAGCCCACCCCGGGGCATCTGCCACACGGGGCTGGTGGCTGCCTCGTCTCCGGGCCGGCCTGGCCTGCTTGCCAGTGGACACTGCCACCTAGTGCAGCTTGAGGGCAACAGCAGGCAGCGCGGAGCCCCGGATCTCCTTCCGCACCTGGCCAAGCCACGGCTCTCCGAAATGTTGGCCTTGAGTTGCTGAAGGCTGTGAAGAAGAGGATCTTTGGAGGGCATTCGTGCATAAGGTCGCCCTAAGCTGAAGAAGACCTGAAAGCGCGTCGCGACACAAGCAAGACTTTGGCCTAACCCCCACCCCCACCCCGGGCATTGCTGAAAAGCCTGCCGAGAGCTGCAGGCCAGCACATCCGCGCAATGGCAACAGGTCGCCCACCCTGACGGGAGTTCCGCGCTGCGCGGTCGTCCCTCCAGGGTAGGGGCGTCGTACCCATCGGGGCGCCCCTCGCGGCGCGCGGGCCTCCGGAGGGCTGGCCCCCGCGCTGCAGAAGCCCCCGAACAGGCCGGCCCCGTGGCGGCTGCCGCGAAGGAGGCGCCTGCTCCGCTCCGAGAGGGCGCTGGCGGCGCGTCTCCCGCGCAGTCCGAGCCCCGCGCGCGGCCTGCGGGTCCCGCCAGCCCCGGAAGGGCACTTGCTCGCCCGCGGAGCGGTCGTGCTCGCCGCAGCGCGACAGGCGTCTCGGGCTGCCGAGCCCCCGGCCACGAGCCGCCTCCGGCCGGAGGGCGCAGGGGCAGCGGCACGTGAGTGCCCCGCGGCCCGCGCCCGGAGGCCGCGAGCATCGCCGCGGGGAGGCCTCGGGAGTGCGGGCCGGGCCGGGCCGGGCCGTTTGCCGGGGATTCGGCCGCGGAGGCCCCCTCGAGTCCGGCCGCGGCGGCTCCCGCGGCGGCCCCGGCGCAGAGCAGGGCGCGCGCCCAGAGGCCCTCCCCGCCGCTGAGGAAGCGGAAGCGGCGCCCACGTGGCGGCCGGGCGGGGCGGAACCGTTCCTGGGGCGGGGGTGGGACGACGCGAGCTCGGGCGCTGGGGCCGCGGGCCGCCAGGCCGAGAGTCGGGCGCCCTCCAGCTGCTGCTGCACTCGGGCCGCGCTGCGCGTGTGCCCTCGCCGAGGATGGTGCGGGCGGCGGGGGCGGCGGCGGGAGCGGGGCGGCCGGCGGCGCGGGACGGGACGGGACGGGACGGGAGGCTCCGGGGCGGCGGGGCTCGCGGCGCCGCTGCCCTGACCGCCCTTCTCCCCGCAGTCCGCTTCGCTGGACCTCAAGTCGAAGGAGGAGAAGGACGCGGAGCTGGACAAGCGCATCGAGGCGCTGCGGCTGAAGAACCAGGCGCTCATCAGGCGCTACCAGGTGCGCGCGGCGGCGGCAAGCCGCGGCCGGTCCCTCGCCCCCCTCCGGGGCAGCCTCCGTGCTGGCGGGCGGCGCGGGGCGCAGAGGCTGCCTGCGAGGGGAGCGCGGGGAACGCGCGGCAAGCGCGGTGGGGCCGGCGGGGGCTCCCGGGGCCCGACCGCGCCCCAGCCTGTGCTTCCCCTTTGCTGCGCCGCAGGAGATTGAGGAGGACCGCAAGAAGGCCGAGCAGGAGGGCATTGCGGTGACCGGAGCCCGGAGGCCGCGCTCCACCGAGGGGGAGGCGCCGGAGAGGCGCCGGGGTGTGCCGGATGCTCCCACACTCACGGTGCAGGTCGTGCTTTCCCCGCAGGTGAGGCTCGGGGCTGACGCTGGGGGGAGGGGCTGCTCGTGACCTCCGTTTGGCGTGGGGCGGCGGGGGCAGGGCTGGCTGGGGCAGTAGGGGAGGCCACCCTCCGGTCCATCCTGCTCCTTGTGGTATCTCTTCTCCAGGAAAAGCGCGTGGTCAGCAGCGAGAGGAAACCCCCTGCCCCTCGCAAGAACCCCCACAGCGCCTCTAGCCCCCGTGCGGGGACATACCTGGGCCATTGCGCCCCGCGAGCAGAGGGCCCCCCTGAGCAGCCCGGCTGGGACGGGGCAGGCAGAGATGGCCCAGGAGCTGGCAAGCGAGGCAGTGGGGGGCGCAGCCAGAGGCCCCAGGGGCGGGGAGGCCCCGCAGGAGACGCTGGGCCTGACCGAAGATCCAAGGTGAGGAGCGGGGCAGGGGCTGCCGCTCTGGGGCATGCCTGCCCTGGAGGGCGGGAGGGGGGCTTCCCGTAACCATCCCTCTCCCCTTCAGGAGCGGGAAGAGCGTCGCCGTCAAAACATTGAGAAAATGAACGAGGAGATGCAGCAGATTGCAGCCTATGAGCGCAGCCAGCGGGTGAGTTCCAGCCACGTGGGAGGGGGCCCGGGCCTGCTGAGTGCTCTGCTGGGTGGGTGGGAGCTGCTGTGGTTTCCCGGCCTGGGCCACACGGGATGCAAAGGCAGCCCGCCCTGCGTCCTCCGTGGTCCCCCTAGCCCGGGCTGCATCCGCAGATGTCTTTGCTCTGCAGGATGGACTTCAGGAGAAGAATCCCGTCCGCAACTTCCTGGATGACCCGCGACGCAGCGGTCCCTTTGCAGAGTCAGACCGGCGGGAGGGGAGCCGGCGCCACATTCGCAACTGGGGAGGACCAGATTTCGACAAGGTCAAGACCAGCATTGAGCGGGGCAAGGAGTGGTTCCCCCCGGTATGTGTGCATTCGCCTGTGTGGCGGGCAGCGCACAGATGGGGGGGGGGACTTGGTTGGGGCCACACTTCAGCGAGAGAGTGGCATGTGTGCGGCAGGACATCGTTAGCAGGTTGATTTGCAGCCAGTGGGGGGGGGCCATCCTCAGCGAGGGCTTCTCAGTGTCCAAGGAGCACACTGCAGGACTCAAGCCTGGGACTTGTACTCTTCTATGATGTGTACAGATATTGTAGTTGGGGGGGTGGTATCAGATTCGCAGATGACACAGAACTGAGTGGGAGAACAAAACAACATTCCAGATAATTCGTATAGGTCAGAAAGCTAAAATATTTATTTATTTATTTAAAGTTTTTATATGCCATCCCTATTGCTATACAGCCTCAGGATGGCTCACAACATAAATAAATAAAACAAATAGAATAACATTTACAATTACAATTTACAATAATAACACACTCTACATTCCTCCATTTAGAAAACAAATCAGACACACAAGGAATAAGATGGGGGAGTATTTGGCCTGCTGGTGGCCCATGCAAAAAAGGAGCTTGAATTGCGGCCCGTCACAAACTGAATAGGAACCCACAGGGTGCCATGGCTGCAAAGAGGAAAATTCTGTTTTTCCCAAATCATCAGGAGAGATGCTTCTGAGTCTGGAGAAGTGACGGTGACAGAGGGTTCCACTTAGCACTCATCATTTCTGAGTTCGGTTCTGGGTTTCGCACTTGCAGGAAGATTCAGAAAAATTGGAGTGAGTTCAGAGAAGGGCAGTAGAGGTGATCAGGGAATTAGAAATTCGGTGCTATAAAGATAGAAGTAAGGGTGGGTATGTTCAGCCTTGAGAAAAAAATCCTGCAAGGGAGCTGAGGGCATTCCTCAGAACTGCAGTCCGCTGTCTGTCAGATGGCCTCAGCTGCCCCCCGCTGGAGCAAAATGGGCGTCTGTGCAGCCACCCCCCACCACTGGTACCCCTTTCATCCCACTTGCAGCTCTCCCCCCCATCACACCTGTGTCCCCCATGCGCTGCTCCTCCGCCCGGTAGCCAGCACATGCGACGCTTTCCCTCAGCAGGGCCGTGGAAGTGGCCGGCGCAGGGGAGCCGCAGGGGCAGCGGCTCTGGACATGACGCTCTCCATGACTGGCCGGGAACGGGCTGAATACATCCGCTGGAAGCAGGAGCGCGAGCAGATCGACCAGGAGCGGCTGGCGCGGCATCGCCAGCCCACGGGAGAATGGCGCCGCGAGTGGGATGCCGAGAAGGCGGAGGCGGAGTGCGTGTCGGGTTGGGGGTGGGCTTGTGGCCGTGGGGGCAGAGAGCTGGGGGCGGGTGGTGGCCCGCTTCTGGGCTGGCTTTCCCATTTGCGGGCACAGCCGAGGGCATCTGCTGGGGCCATTCTCCTGCGTGGGGAAGGCGTACTCACCGCTGCCGCTTCCTTTTCTCTCCCACTTTTCCAGGTTCAAGGAGGGCGACCCAGCAGGCGCCTCCCCAGCCTGCAGGCGAGGTGAGGACATTTGGGCACCCAAAACATGGGCCTGGGGCAGCTGTGGGCCTGGGGGAGGGGCCTGCCGGGCATTGCGCTCCCTCGCTGCACGAGGGTGGCGCGGCAGCTGCCTCGTGGCTCCGGCGTGCACTGTGTCCAGTGCATCGCTGGAAAGAAGAGGCCACGCCGGTTCAAGCAGTGGCTGGAGAGCAAACGAGGCCGGGCCCGTTTGGGCTGCCGTGTGGGCCTGTGGTTCACGAATCGTATTGGTCCCGTTCCTTCCACACAGACGAGTCTAAGCGGACCCCCAGGCGCCCAACGTTTGGAGAGTTCCTGCCTGAGCAGCAGCGTGGCCGGCGCAGGGGCGGCAGAGGCTGTGGGCGCCCGCGGGGTGGAGCCTCCAAGCCCTACAGGTGGGTGGCCCTGGTGAGCCTCCGCAGGGCATGTGCCGTGCCCGCATTTGGGGTGGGCTGTGGGGCTCCTGGGCCTGCCCGTTCCTTGCCTCATGCCCGGGCTCCGGGCTCCTGCGATGCTCACTGTGTCCGCCTTGCTCCGCAGTATGCACGACAATCGCTGGGAGAGGGAGGAGCCCGCGCCAGCCACAGCCCCCTCGGGGAAGAAGACGGACCTCGCCACCAAGCAGCAGGTGCGGCGGGCCGAGGGGGCGCCTGCTCTGGCTTCCTCCTCGACTTCTGGGTTTGCTGGTGTGGAATGAGGGGGGTCTTAGCACCGTTGGGCCACTGTGGCGCTGCCCCACCACGTTCTCTTCTTCCTGCGGCTTCATGGCTCACTGTTGTCAGACTGGCCACCGCTGCCTGGCAGGCGGCCGCCTGTGTGGGGGTGGGGTACTGCGCGGGGGGGGGGGAGGCTCCTTCCCTTGCACCTCCAGGCAGGTGCAGGTTCTTCCCCGGGGAGCTTTGGCGGGTGGTTGCAAGAGGGCGTCTGGCTTCGGAGGGCTTTTGTGGTTCGCTCAGCCCCAGCCCACGCAACTGGTGTGTGGGATTCACTTGCGTGGGATGTTGTGATGGGCACCAGTCCAAGTGGCTTTATGAGGGGACCAGACCGTTTCTGGAGATGGCGGCGAGTCCCGCTGGCTCTCTGCCTTCCTGGAGATGTACAGCAGTTGCTGGGGCACATGGGTGCGCGGGTGGGCTGCTGCTCGGCTTGGATCAGGTGGGCCCTGGCTGTGACCCGTGTCGAGGCCCTGGGGCCCGTGCTGCGTTTCTCGGCTCGCGCGTCCCTCGGCTGTGCTGCTCGCTTTCCGTGCTGTACCGCGGGCTGTGCTGTCCAGAGGTCCGCCTGTAGCAGCTGCGCATAAATGCTGCCACCACAGACCTCTCTCCTTCCCTCAGGTCCTCTTACCTGTTTTCTCCCTTCCCATCCCACAGGTGGAACCTGTCTTACCCCACACAGGGCCAGCAGAGGATGAGGAAGAGGAGGAAGACCAGTGGGAAGATGTCAGTGGGGGGGAGGAAGAGGAAGAGGAGGAGGAAGCAGCAGTGGCTGGAGGCAGCGACAGGAGTGAGGGCTCCTCTACAAGGAGCAGGACCGGCAGTGAGGAGCAGGACCCGGGGCGGAATGGGCACCTGTCCTCGGCCATGCCTCCCTCCCAGGGCGAGGCGCCAAGCCCAGAAGGGAACCCCGTGGCTCCCTCCTCACCGGCCGAGGGGTACCCGCGTGTCTCAGACTGGGGAGAGGAGATGGAGCTGAGCTCCCCGAGGGCAGAGGCTGCCCAGAGCCGCTTTCCTTTGATCGCGCAGGAGGAGCCTTCAACAAGGGCTGGTATGGAGCGCAACCCAGGCTGTGATGGGGGGGGGGGGGGGGGGGGGCGGGGCCGGGGGGGGGGGGGGGGGGGGGGGGGCAGGGGGCCAGGGCCTGGACGGTGGTCTTCACATGTGAGAGGTGGGGGCCAGAGCCTCGTCAGTTGCAGAGTCAGGCCCGGCCCGCTTGCCTCTGTTCTTCCCGCCAAGAGGCGGCACAGGGTGCGGGAGGGGGATGGGCTGCCCTCGCTGGCTGGTCTGGCTCAGGGTTATGGGGTCTCTCTTTCACTGCAGGGAGGAGCCTTCCAGACTCTCTGGCCAATCAAGGGTCCCCACTGGCGGCCTCGGCTGACGGGGAGGTGCCCCCTGCCCCCAGCGCCCCAGCGCCCGAGGCCGGCCAGGAGCTAGCAGCAGCGCAGGCCACAGAGAAGGACCTGCAAGAGCTCGGCAAGCCAGGGGCTGGGGTGGGGTGGGGTGGGGAAGGGGGTGGGTCGCCGGCCTGCATGGGTGGGTCGCCCTTCCTCTGGACCGCAGCCCTCCAGCGCTGAGGGACGGCCTCACTCCTGTCTTCCCAGGAACCGCAGTGGAGCCAGTGTCGGGACCCGTCCCCAGCCCGGAGGAAATCGCCGACGTCCAACGGGTGCGCCTCTCTCAGCTGCTGCCCACCTGTTGCCAGCAGCACTCCCGCTGCCGCTTCCGCTGACCCCAGGCTGCGCTTCCCCCTGCCTGCTGGGCTCCCGCATGCCCCCTGCCCACGCCTGCCCACCCTGCGCTTGCTGGCGCTGCCCTTCCTCTGCGTGTGCCTGCCGTCGGTCCTGCTGGCCGGGTCTGCGTGGCTGCCCCATTCCTGGAGGCGAGCACAGGCACCTCCTGCCCACTCAGCCTCATGCGTGGCCTGCCAGGAGGAGGGAGGCTGGAGACAAAGCTGTGCGGCACTGGGTGTGTCTGGAGGGGCCTCCAGGAATCTGGACTGGCAGAGGTGGAAGGCGCCAGGCACGCCTTCAGGTCCGAGCCCTGCTCCCTGCGGGACTCCTGGCTAAACCGTCGCTTGCGGAAAACGGTCCAGTCGCACCCCGATCCCCTTCCGTGTGGGAGAGCCGCCAGTTCGCTGGGCAAGGGGCTCCACCATTGCCCCGCTCTGGCAGCCAGGCCATCCTCCTGGATGTTGCACCTGAGTCGAACTTCCTGCAACTGGAGCCACTGCTCTGCATTCTGTAGAGCTGGAAGGGGCCCAGAAGGCCACCAGGTCCAGGCCCTGCTGGTGCAGGACACCACCTTGCACCCTCCCACTCAGAGGGCTGCCCCGTTTCTCCTTGAGTGCCTCCAGTGTGGGAGAGCCCCCCACCTCTCCAGGCAGCTGGTCCTGTTGTTGTGTTGCTCTGGCAGTGAGGAAGCTTTTCCTGATGTCCACCCTGAATCTGGGATGCTCGAGGAGAGAGCCCAGTACTCCTCTTGTGTCTTGTGTCCCTCAGGAGTGCTCCCTTGTCTCCTCACAGCCTCCTCTTCTTGAGGCTCAGTGGCCCAGCTCTTCTGGCCTCCACACAGGGCGTTGCTGCCAGTCCCCAGAACATTTTGGGCCTTTTCTGTGCAATGAGAAGTTTTGGACCTTTTATCTGGCCATCTTCCAAGGCTGGCTTACCGTGTGAAACGCTCTGCCCAGAAGCACCAGCTTCACCCAGGCAGACCCGCAAGTGTGCCACATGGGTGCAGCCCTGCTCTGGTGCCATTTGCATGAAATCCGCCCTTGCGGAGGGGGTCACTCACCCGCCCCATCCTCTTTAATGTGCAGTCTGTGTCCACAGATTTGGCTGCATCAGCTGACCAAGCAGCACGCATGTACTGTACCTTCTGAACTGGGTTGGGTGAGTGTGGGATTAAAAGCAAGGAGGGCTGCAAGCTGCGGGGAGGCTCCCCCAGGCCCACAGAGCCCCTTGGGCAGTCCTTGTCACTTCCTTACATGTGAAGTGAAATTTTCAGTGCTGCTGGTGATTCCTGCTCCCCCCACTCTGCAAGAGCGGCCCTTGTCTGCCTTGCCAAGATTTTATGTCTGAGTCACCTGCCAGAATTCCTAAAAACACTGGGCATGTTTGATCACCCAGGCATCAGACATGTCAATGATTCCGTACACAGGAGCTAATTTTTATTTCCCGTATTTTTACATCTTTTCGCTTTTTGCCAGGAAAGCTCGATGAGCCTGATGGGGCAGGGTGGCCACAGTGCTCCTTTCTCTCAACTCTTCGAGAGGGAGCCCTGCTCTTGCGGGTTGCGCTCGGCTGGGGCGGAGGAGGCACGGCACTCCTGGGGTGCGTGTCTTGCTGACAACCACAAAAAGAGCTCCTTTCAAAGGAGGGCTCTGCGGAGGCACTGGGGTGGGGCCGCCCCAGAGAAGGCATCTCCTAAGGCTGCTGAAGCAGCCAGCTGTGAGGGGGCAGGGAGTTGCCGGGTCATCCCAGTATCTGGCAGCAAGTGCCGGAGAGTTTGCTCCTGCCACTTGTTTTAGTTCTGTGCTTCAGAAAGCGCTCCTTTAAGCCCCACAAAGTGTCAGTGGAGAGCCAGCCTAGCACCGGGTGGATTGGGGGGGGCTGCCCAGCCCCAGCAACAGCCCTGCCTGTTGGAGCTCAGCATCCCTCCATAGTGAAGCACCTACGGGGTCCCGAGCGTTCCCCACGGCCCCTGCAGGCGGACTAGGGTCTTGGTCACAGCCAGACTGGACCTAGGCCTCTCCCGGTCCGAGATGATGCGCCGCCCGGGCGTGGCTGGCCCTCGGGGGGGGGTGCTTCGTCCTCCGCCTCCCGGAGAGCTGGCCCTTCCCCGGCCGGCCACGAGGCGGCGCCCCGTGCCCGCACGGCCTCGGGCTGCGCCGCTCCGCCTCGCCTGTGCGTCCCGGGCTTGTCCGTTCGGGGTGCGCGGGAGGGTTCCTGGGGTGGGGGGGGGGGGGGGGGGGGGTTCCCGGGGCGGGGGGGGGGCTCATCTGTCCTTGGGCCCGCCGGCCCCTTCCTTGCGCAGGTGAGCGCTGGCATGAGCAAGGCGCACGCCGAGGGGTCTGCGCTCGCGCTCGGAGGGCTGCGCTGCTGCTCCAGCGGAGACGAAAGGGTTAAGACGCGCCTGGCCGGGAGCAGGAAGGCGTGGGAAGAGGCTGCCCCCCTCCTGCCTCTGTCATGGGGGCGCTGCCGGCTAATGGCCCTGTCTGCTCCCCTTCTCCGGCACCGCCCCCCCCCCCGATTTTGCCTCACAGATTTAGGTGCTCGTGAGGTGTTCCTATTCACCCCGTTTCCATGCTGCCCGTAGCTGGAGCTCCTTGGGCAGTTCAGAGCATTGATGCGCCCGTCCGCGTTGCAAGCGGGCCCGCCCCGCTCAGCCCCGCTTCCAAGGCTGGGCAGGGTCAGGCGCTTCGAGCCGCACGGAAGCCCCGGGCTGAGTGGCGGTGGAAGCACCGGGTGGGCTGCTCTACATGTTTGCTCTACCAGGAATTCCCGAGGTGATGCATAATATTCTCCAGGGGTTCAGAACATTTTATGTAGGTAGTTGCCACTCATTCTTTGAGGGTTTTTTAAATACTGGAGAGTATTGCATAATTTGAAACTTCCTCAAATCAAGAGCTGCCACTAAGGCTAAAATACTTGAACTTTGAAGTCAGGGTTCCGAATGACTTAAGTGTTTAAAGCATTTTTGCTCTGCTTTCCCATTGAAAAGGCTCTGGGACCAGTCCGTTTCTAAGATCCTTTAAAAAAGGGCGAGCTGGGAGGGCAGCTGAGGCCAGGAGGCGCCCCCAAAAGGAGGAGCAGCAGAAAGAATCGGCCAGAGAATCCCAGTTACCACCCACTGGGCCGGAGTGGTGGATCTTTTGTGCTGTTCTGACTGACTGGGCCTCTCCTGTGGGCCGGGGCAGGAAAGGGCCTTGGCGGCTGCTGAGGTGCTTCCAACCCATCCCCACCCTGAGAGCTTGGCCTGTGGAGCTTCAATAACAGTAGCACATCCTCTGGGAGCCATCTTCTGGTTGGTGATCCTCTTTTTCTTTCCTCTGCCCCACCAGGAGCACCTGGAAGCCTGACGCAGAGAGAGCAGTCTCCTGGCAGGCAGCCACCTCCCCGGGGGATGATGGGAGTGGCACCCCTCTTCTTCGATCTGGTGGACAGAGTTGTGACCCACTTTCTGCAGGAAATCACTTGTGCCGCAGTCCAGAGGAATTCCACCCGCCGCCACCACGACTGCCAAGCTGGAGCCTCAGAGCCACCCTGCAGCGCTCGCTCCGTGTGCCCCCGTGCACCATGGCCCCTGCTGGAAGGACTGCTTGCTTCCTGGGGCAGGGGCCCTGCTTTTGTCCTGGCCTTGCCCCTGCCTGTCTCTCCAGCTCCTTATCAGCCTCCCCTGCCCCCCATGCACTGTTTGCTGGGCAGTCCAAGAAAGGGGGAATCAGGAGGCCCTACATGGGATCAGGCCGGGCTGGCGCTTACTGTTCCCCTTCCCTGCCTCACCAGCCCTGTGGGAGAGGGCAGTGCCCGGGTGGGGCTGTTCCACATTGGGCCCCCATGAAAGGATTTCTTACAATAAAGGCTTGAAAGCATCCAGCTGCTCTTATGCTCTTGAATGCCAGGACTGGGCAGAGAGGCCGAAGGGGCTGCCTTCTGTAGTGGCAAAGCTGAGAAAGGGCTGCCCTTTCTGCAGCTTACGGGGCCTTGGTCCTTTGCTCCCCGAAGGCCTTGGCCGAAGTGCTGCTTGTGAAAGTAGGCTGGGGGCTGCTGGGGGGGGAGGGTGTGGGGGGAGAGTTGTAGCTTGGCCTGAGCTGTGACTAGGAACAGAAATGGCAGCATCTGGCAGCAGAAGAGACCACCAGGCCCACCCACTCCTGTGCTTGGTGCACTGATCCAGCTTAAAGCATCCTGGCGGATCTCTGCTTGAGGGCCAGCGTCAATGGAGGCGCCTTCACTGCCTTGACTGCCCCCTCCCCCCAGGTGCCTCCTGGCAAAAGCCATGCTGAACGGCTCTGGAAGGCACTTGACCTGCTGCGGCAGCTGCACGGGGATTGCCAGGGAGCCTGCAAGCTGCCCCCAACCGCAGGGTGCCAGCAGTGTCCCCAGCAAGGGTGTCCCGGCAAGGCCGGCGGCATGGCTTGCCCCGCCACCGTGACGGAGCCCAGGCCGTCCTGGGCACAACCCCCACTGCAGTCGTAATCCTACTCGGGTAAACCCAGTGGGCCCTTTAGGCTGGTGGGCAAGAATGCCTGGAGGCCACTTGCCTTCCAAGTGCCTCTCCTCCTGCCATGGAAGGCCCCTGAGGCAGACCTCCCCTGGCTGTCCTGACCCACCAGGACTCCAGCTCAAACCCAGGGGAACCCTCGCACACTGCCCAGCGGGTCCCTGCGTCTTGCTGGCCCTGGAGAGAGCCTGCACCCGCCCTCCTCTGGCCTCGCTGGCTTTCCATGGGCCGTGGCTGCCGACGGCCTTGCGCTGCCTCCAGGGAGCCCCGAGAGATGCCCTGCCTGGTACTTCGTCCTAGCCCATAAATAGGCTTGATGATGTAAGACAAGATCAGGGAAGCCAAATTACCCTTTTCATTGGAAAGAGAAACATATTTTCAAACGTGTTGAAAGTTACAAAACAAAGCACTGAGTTTTTGGAAATACTTGCCAGATATAAGTAAAGAAATACTGCCTAGAACAGAAAGAGGTTAAGGTATTACAGTCACCTTGAGTGTATTTACCCTACTCCATAATCTCATTTGTCAGCTTGTTCAAACAGCCCAGTCATTTGAGATGCATCTTTGGGGATGAGTATTCCCAAGTAAGTAAAGAAATTGGGCATAAAATGAATTGGCCACTAAAATGGGCATCTCCAATCAACACCGGTGCAGACTTTGAACAAATAATTGAAGAAGCAGTCAATTAACTGAAATCCTCATAATTGGCATCAAAGCTGGATCAGATAACTTGTGTTTTGAAAGAAACAGCAAAAGATTATTGGCATAAATACTAGGTTTAAACTAAAGAATTCTGCACAAACCTGTGAATACAGCATTCTGTTGAATAGCTTGTGTCCAGGGTTCCAAACAGAGAGCACTATCAACAGGGAAATGGACATCCGGTCTGACACCATGCCCAAGTCAAAGGAAATCAGATGAATGACCATTAATCCTAACTCCTGGGCTAGAACATAAAAATGTGACTCATTTCTGACCCATTTATTCAGAAAAGCCCACATTTCTCAGTGTAGGTAAAATAACTGACCCCATTTTGAGGTTAGAAGCCTTCTGTGCATCTAGAGAAACATAGCAGCTGAAGCTCCTCTCTCTGTTGAGCACAATCAAATCAAGCAGGCTGATAATTCCTGCTTGCTCACTCTATTTTGATAAATCCTATTTCATCTGATTGGATTAATGCTGCAATAATATTGTGCAATCCATCAGCCAAGATAGTCATCAATATTTTCATGTCAGTGCTGATTAATGAAATGGACTGACAATTAGCACAATTGCTGCAATCCTTTCCAGGCTTAGCAACCCCAGTGATGCAGGTGCCACCACAGGGGGAATTGTGGAAATCAGGAAGCTCTGGATCTCAAAAGCTGGAGAACCCTTGATCCCATTCAAGTGGGACTCCGGGAGGTGGGGTGGTCCGAAAGGAGGGATTTCAGTGCAGTGACAGAAACCCAAATCCGTGAGACCCTACAGGGGTAATCTGGGCAGAAAGGGAAACTGAGGCCCCACTGCCTTTGAGCCTGGCGGTTCCTCAGAGCTCACATTAATGATGTTTTGTGATTTTTTGCATGCTCAGAGGTGTCAAAAGAGACCCCCTTTGTGAGAGTCTCGTTGGGGAAGGTCAGCATGAGGAAGGCAGGCATGCCCTGCGCCAATATTTTGCCACTTCTGCTATACAAGAGCTAAACATTGGGAGCTGTTACCTCCCAGAGAAGTCTGGAGCTTTTGGCACCTTCTGATGGGCTGCGCCTCCTGATAAGGCCATGCCATTGGACGTGGCAAAAGTCTTCACTTCAGCTGCATGTTGCTTTTTAAAAAGTGTGCTTATCGGAGGCATAGCCAAGGACTTCACCCCGTCTAAAGGTGTTACCAGCCTTGCACATGGCGGCATAAGCTAACTGCTTATGTTGATTTCAACATCCTGTAGCTGGGCACATTGTAGGTCCTCAGTCGCTGGTGTTGGGAAAATTCAGGTAAATCCTGGTAGAAAAAATGTTGCTTATATGTTCCTTTGTAGTATAAAATCAAACCTGCACCTCTTTCTCACAAAGCAGCAGAATCCCAAGCCAGGTCGCTGTTTAGTGCTGCTGTTGCTTTAGGAAGATGGGATCCTTAGCTGGACTGAGAAGCCACCGGAGGCTGACTTGATCAGTGGGGAAATACCTGTGTTCTCATCAGCTGCAGAAAAACTGAAACACGGGTGCCCACTTGTTTCCGAATGGACCCACCTAAGCACCTGGTCCCACAGAGGCAAGTCCTGCTAGTTGGCAAACCAGTTTTCCTGAATGGTTCCACGATCAGACATATTTGCCTGTTTAACAGACACAGAGTCCGATTCAAACTGCAAGGAATGTACTGAATTTATATGTCAATAAAGCAATTTTCCATACTATTGCTACCAGTATTTCTGAATGGTTTAGAACATTATGTCATGCCTAAAGACATCAAGATGCTCTTGTACCAACATTGTCTGGAAACTTAACACCCTGTATCGGTGTATGTGACTAGCAGGTTATAAAAGTGTCTGTACATGGCTGTGGTTGAGTTTGCCTCTACCCAGTAATATATTATCATTAGTGACTGCAGGTCCCAGGGTACCGATCAATAAAGCCACAGAGGTTCAAATGCTTGATTTTTCCCATGGGCCCAAGTGTGTGTTTCCTTGCAGATTGAAAACTGAGATGTTGCCACGGGCAGGCAAGCTAAGCGTTTTTGCATGCTTTGTCCATATTTTGCCCATCAGTGGTTACATTCAGGGAGCCTCTGTTTCCTCTTTCTGCCAACTTAAAAGCCTTAACAAGCACTCTGATTTCGCAGAGGAACTTACGAGACGCTTGCTCCACAGGGTGAGTGACTACAGTGTGCTCTGCATGCAAGGCATGGGGCGGGGTGGGGTGGGGTGGGGTGGGGTGGAGGGGCTCTCCCAGTGCCAGTCTGCCCTGTGCCTTTGACCGGCTGGCAGGGCCCCGAGACGGGCAGCCCCCATGCCACACGCAGGAAGCCTTTCGGTGGGCATCTGGGGATGGAGGAGATGGGCATGCTGGACATGTGCAGGCGGAGGGGGAAAGCAAGCACATGCGTGCACTGCCTGGGCCCCCTGATGCATCCCTGTGCGCATGGGGACCCCCCCCAGACGGGTGCCCTGCACCAGCAGAAGGGTGGCCCCGATGGCCTGGCGGGCTTAGGTTGGGCTTGGGGCGGCGTGTGTCTGAGTGCAGCACCGTCCCTCCTTTGCTAGCCCAGCAGTTGCCCGGGGCCCCTCTCCTCCAGCCCTGCAGAGCAGCAACAAAAAGGGGCCCACAGGGGAAGGATCCAGGGGAAGGCCCAGGGCTGGATTCAGTGCTGTGCTTCAGCACACTGAGGGGACCATGCCTGGTTCACGCCCTGCCGCTGCCTACACGGTCACCGGCTCCCTTCTCCACAATGTGAGCTTCGTTGCGTTTGCCCCTACAGCGGGTGGCTCTGGGTGACCCTTTAAACTCGGCACTTGCTGGCAGCGGCGGCAGATTCCCCTCGCTGCATATGACCACCAGTCAGCGGGCAAGGGGGGGCAGCCCTTGTGATAAGAGCACCTCACCACGCCACCTCTCTGTGCTGTGCGAGTGTGGACTTGGCCCCATGGAAGGGGCGATGCAAGCACTCCCTTCCATGGGGTCAAGGCTAGACCCGGGCTAGCCTTGACCCCATGAGGCCAGGCTAGAGGTGGTGCAGGCTGCCCGTTTTGAGGCTGCTGTCCCCACTGACCCTTTCCCCTGCTGTTTTCTTACAGGATATTTGGAAGCTTTGGGATGGACTACACTATTGATGATGACTTTAATTACACCGACTACAAATTCGAAACTCCCCGTGAGGAGAAGGCTGGCCTGAGCCCAGTCATCTGGGCAGCCCTGGTCCTCTATGCCCTTGTGTTCCTTCTGGGCGTGCTGGGCAACGGGGCCGTCATCTGGGTGATGGCCTTCCAGATGCGGCGCACGGTGAACACAGTCTGGTTCCTCAACCTCGCCATGGCCGACCTTCTCTGCTGCCTGGCACTGCCTTTCCTGGGCGTGACTCTGGTCACGTACCCGCACTGGCCGCTGGGAAATGCTGCTTGCAAGCTTCTGTCCTCCCTCATCATCCTCAACATGTTTGCCAGCGTCATGGTGCTGATGCTCATCAGCATGGACCGCTGTGCCCTGGTGGTCAAGCCCGTGTGGTGCCAGAACCACCGCTCCCTGGGCCTGGCCTGGGCGCTGTGTGCCGTGGCCTGGGGCGCTGCCCTGCTGCTCATGGTGCCCACCTTCCTCACTCGCCAGACCAAGTCCTGGTCTTCCAACCAGATTACTTGCAGCGTCGATTATGCCATCCTGGGTGGCGCCTACCACAACATTGCAGCTGTCTCTGTGACTGTCATGCGCTTCCTCTTCGGCTTCCTGATCCCCTTTGTGGTCATCAGCCTCTCCTATGGGCTGCTGCTCTCCCGCGTGCACAGAAGCCGCTTCATGCACTCCCAGAAGCCCCTGAAGGTCACGCTGGTCGTGGTGCTGGGCTTCTTCATCTGCTGGATCCCCTACCATGTGAACGGCCTGATCCTTGCCTGCGAGAGCCCACTGAGCTCGCTCTACATGTCCGCACTCCAGGCCGAACCCCTCATTGTGGGCTTGGCCTACATCAACAGCTGCATCAATCCCATCATCTACGTCATCGCAGGCCAGGACTTCCAGGCCAAGATGCAGCGCTCGCTGAAGATCTTGCTGAGCAGCATCCTGAACGAGGAGTCCCCTCTCACGGGTTCCCTGGCGGAGGGCCAGTCCCAGGCCCCCTACACTACCACCGTGGACTGCAGCACCAGCACCAACACTGTCACCACCTTGTGAGAAGAGCACAGTTCCCGAGAGGGCCCACGCACACCTCCGGGCACGGGCAGCTTCGGCACATTTACAGTTGCGCGCATCTTCTCTTGAGACAGCAGCTCCTGATGCTTTTGCTGTGCAGCCACGCTGAGATCCCTCTGTGGACCTATAAGCTCACTTAGGGCACAGAATGGACAGATCTTGTCCCCCAGGGGACCCCTGATGTATCACCAAAAAACAAACAACCCCCCCCCCCCAGCAAATAGAGGTCACACGTTTTTATAATGTTTGCACATGCTTATGCCTTTATGGCTTTTCTATACTGCTTGGGTGCAATGTAACTCTTTCCAGTGTACTTTTTCTAATGTAAAGAGGTCAGACTAGATGGCCAGAGAGACCCCTTCTGACTCGCTCTGTTTCTATGTAACGCCGCCCAGCATCTAAGCTTGGGGGCTTCCAAATGAGAAGTCCCATGCGCACCCAGTGCAGGAAGCCAGGCCAAGCCGCAGAAGTTCCTCACACCCTGCATTTCATCTGGGGGGCTGTTTCCAGAAGTTGCACTGAAGTGGGGCAGGGCCCAAGGGGGCAGAGCAGGGTGGGAACTCAGCCCTGGATTCCCAGCAAAGAAGATGCTGGACTTTGGAGCCTTCCCTCCCACCCGCCCCCCCATGATGCTGGAAAGCCAGAGGATTGCACCCTTTGTGGATTAAAATCGAAATTAAGATTATATCAAATTAATTAATCTAAATTAATGCCCAAACTTTTGGGGTTTTCTGGTCAGCTCTGCTTTTGGGCACGAGCTATGCTGCTGACCATTTCTGCATGCAAAATAAACAGTTTAAGTCTCTACTGGGTGTTGCTTCCTTTTTCCTGATAACTGAAACCCTGGGGCAGCGGGGGGGGGGGGCGAGACCAAGAGCATTTTTGCAACAGGTGGAAGTGGCCAATCTCTCTTGCCTCTTCTCTTCTCCAAAGTTTTGGAGGATGGGCTGTGAGGTCTTGCCCAGGGCTGGGGGGAGTTTGATGGCCATAATAAGAGGGGACATTGGGGACGGAAGGTGAGAGCGTGTGTATTTTGGAATGCCAACTGGGCAAGACCTCAAGGCTGGCTCCTTGCTCTTTGCAAGGCTGGTGGCAGGCAGGCGTGGCGGTTTCCAAGCTGCTTCCACGCCCAGCACTAGCGGAGCTGCGGCCTTCTCCGTGCTGCGCTAGTTGCAGCCTGCGGGCACCCTTGAGGGCAGCCCCACCCAGTGGGCTTTGCAGTAAGCAGGCTGGAGGTGACCGGCGCCCGCGCCACCGGGCCGGGGAGGCCAAGGCCGGTGAGCCAGTCCAGGATGGTAACAGGCGTCCCCACACCAGGCCTCCAGCGAAAGGACCCCAGCAGCGGAACCGGCCAGGCGCTCAGGGGCCCGCGGCGCCTGCTAGGCCCTCATCCAGCCCCCGCGGAGCCCCGGCCCCGAGCTGGCCTTGCGCCCCTTCTCTCGATTCAGGAGGCGCGCGGGGGCGCCTCCCGCTACTCGGTCTGGGGATGGTGCAAGCCAACTCGTGAGTCGGATCGCGCGCGCTGCTTTACCCGGTGTAGGTCTGTAACGCAGGAAGGAGGCTCTGCGCGAGAGCAAGCTTCCGCCCAAAGCGTCAGTGGCGCGTACTGGGCATGCTCCAACCCGAATGGCGCATGCTCAATCACAGCGAGCTGTCCGCGGGACAGCGGAGAGAGGCAGGCATGTGCGTAAGTTCTCGGGAGGAGAGGAGGAGGAACGTGGGAATGCGGCGCCGCGGGTGGGAAGGCCGCCGCAAGCGAGGACAGCTGGTGCGGGCGGGGGTCGCTGCGAGGTCCCTGAGCTCTGGCGACGCCGTCACGGGGCCACTGCTCGGCGCCCGATGCTGCTGAAGAAGCGAAGGCAGGTGCGGGCGGGCAGCGCCGGCGCGCGTTCTCACGTGCGTGCTCTGCTTCTTCCAGTGCACAGGCTCGTGAACCCGGCCCGGCTGCATCTGCACCTCCGGCAGCCGTTGAGCGCTGCCTCCGCGCCGTCGCGCTCCGCCGGAGATCGCCCGCTGCCCCTGCGCTCGGCGGTGGCTCTGAGGGGCTCCAGCTGCGCATCCAGCCGCCTGGCTCTGGCCCTCCTCGGCTTCAGAGATGGCGCTGGAGGAAGAGGGGCTCCAGGGAAGGGACAGCTCTGCCGCCCAGGCCCGTCTGGAGGGCCTCTTCCTCCCTGGCCAGAGTGCCGACGAGCGGGGCGAGTTCTGGTCCTTCTCGGACCGCCTCCAGCGCTTCCGCAGCCTGAGGAAGGGGCCGCAGTGGCTGAAGGGGGCCGAGCCGCCAGGGCCTGAGCGCAGCAGCAGGAGTCCGGCAAGGCCGCCTCGGCAGTATGACCCCCGGAGCCGCATCAACCTGCAGCTGCCCTCACGGGCGGTGCCCGGCGTGTCCTCCGCGCAGGTGCAGGAGTTCTGCTGGACTTTGCTGCAGTTCTTGGACTTCCGCCAAAAGCAGAGCTTCGCCCGCCTGGCGCGGTTGCAGCGGGAGCGGGCCGCCCTGCCCATGGCCCGCTATCGGGAGCCATTGCTCCGGGCCCTGGCAAGCAGCCAGGTGGTCGTGGTGGCTGGGGACACAGGCTGTGGCAAGTCCACCCAGGTGCCCCAGTACCTTCTGGCCGCTGGTTACACCCACGTGGCCTGCACTCAGCCCCGGCGCATCGCCTGCATTGCCCTGGCCAAGCGCGTGGCCTATGAGAGCCTGCAGCAGTATGGGGACCAGGTGAGGAGGCCGTCCACTGCAGTGGGAGAGTCCTGAGTGCCCAGAACACGTGCTGAGCGCCCTTCCAGTTGCCTTACTCCTTAGTGGCAGGCTTGGAGTGGGGTTTCCATTAGGGCTGCGGATTCTGGCTTCCAGTCTGCCCCAAGAAATGGGGTGGGCACAACTTGGGTGCATGGCAAAAGAAGCAGTGCCACTGGTTGGCTTGTGGATGTTATTGCTTGCTTCTATGCATGGCGTGTTACACAGAACGGGCTGGACAAGTCCCTGCCCCACAGAGGCTCAGTCTAACATTTGTCCCATGGGGGACAAGAGGGAGGGCAGGCTGCTGGCCAGCAGGGGCAAGCAGGGAGGCCGTGCCACATGCAGAGGTGGCTTCATGCCCCACGAGACTGGCTGAGCATGAGAAGGAAGGGCTGCACTGAAGGGTGTGAAGAAGTGGTGGGCTGTGAGGAGGCGGAGGAAGCCAGGGAGGGGCATCCCACAGGCCTTCTGGGAGGCAGTCTGAGGCACAGAGGGTGGGCTGCAAGCGAAGAAGGGCCAGGGACTTTTGATGGGGCAGGATCCCTTCTGACAGGATGGTGGGGGAATGTTTGGTGGAACAGAGGGTGTGCCTTTGCACTTGTTCATCACTACTATGAGGTTTTCGGATCACTTAAACCTAGCCCAGCCGGAGCTTTTCTTTGGGGAGTGGGGCTAGAGGCGAGCATCTTCCAAAAGGGAATGGAGCTATGCCTGGGCTCCTCTCCTGGGGGCCCTCTGGCCCCTCACAGCTCGCCCGCTGGCTCCTCGAAGGCACCAGCTTTTACTCGTAGTGATCCTGGCTGTGCAGGGAACTGGGCGGAGGTGGGGGCCGGGAGTGTCTGGGTGGGGGCCCCCGTTCATGACTGCTTGCCTCTTCTGCCTGAGGTGGGATCTTTGCTGCCCGAGAGAGCACACTAACAGCCTCCCTCTGGACAGGGAGTTGGAGGTGTTGCTGCAAAGTTTCTCTCATGGGATGCCCCCCTTCAGAGGTTGCGTGCCGGTGTCGCAGCCGCCCCAGTTGCCTGCCCTTGTTCTCTGTGGGGAGCTGGACATATGAGGAGGCATCTTCCTCAGCAGGGCCGACCTGAGCCATCCTGGCAGGGCACCTTCTCTGGGCTGAAGGTGGGGCAGAAATCGCAGAGCAAGTGAAGCTGAATGGCACGGCGAGGAAGCAGATGAGCAGGGCAGCCTCCCTGCTGGAGAAGCCTGGTCAGCTGGTTGAGGCGATGCTTGCAACTGCGGCCCGGCCCGGCCCGGCCCTGTGCAGAGAGCGTGTGGGGAATAGGCCCTTGCCCTGACCAGGCCGCTCGCTCCCTGTCTGTTTCTCGCCCCGCGCAGGTTGCCTACCAGATCCGCTTCGAGAGCACGCGCTCGGCAGCCACGCGGATTGTCTTCCTGACGGAAGGGTTGCTCCTGCGCCAGGCCCAGCACGAGCCCAGCCTGCCCGGCTACAGCGTGCTGATCGCTGATGAGGTGCATGAGCGCCACCTGCACGGCGACTTCCTTCTGGGTGTCCTGCGTGGTTTGCTGCCTGCCCGGCCCGACCTCAAGCTGGTGCTCATGTCCGCCACCATCAACATCAGGCTCTTCACAGACTACTTTGGCGGTGCCCCCGTGGTGCAGGTTCCTGGGCGGCTTTTCCCCATCACGGTGAGATGGAGCAGGGATGGAGAGGCGGGCGGCGACGGCAGACCCCTGGTCCCTGCCTGGGCCTGGGCGGTCTGTGGCACTGCCACTTGGCTCCACTCTCGTGAGAGGAAGCTGGCGTCTTCCTTTGGGCGAACACTCCGGGGCCGATGGGGGAAGCTGTTCTCGGGTCAGGAATAGCTTTTCTCAAGGAGATGCTGGAACTGAGGAGCTGGTGGAGAGAAAGCAAAGGAGGGAAAAGGCTGAGGAAGGAGAACACTCAGGAGGCTTTCCTGCTAGTCGCTAAGAGCCAGGAGAGGTCGAGGTGGAGTGTTGCCATGAAAAGCAACTGCCACACCGGGTTTAATCCTGTGTGGGACCTCCCCTTGATCGCCCCCTTTGCATTCTTTTCTGCCACGGAGCTTTTGCCAAATGCTGCCTGTGAGATTCCAGCTTTCTCTGGTAGCAGCGATAACCTCAGCTGCAGAGAGATGGCCTTTGCTTGCAAGGCACAGGCCCTAGCAGCCGAGGCCAGTGTGGATGGTCCTTCACGGTCTGCTTGCCTTCGGTAACCTGCCCGCCCAGGTCCTGTATGAGCCCATCCGGCCGGAGGAGAGTACCAGTGGCCGCAAGGAGCGGTTGGACCCACGACCCTTCCTGCGAGTCCTCCAGGCCATCGATCACAAATATCCTCCTGAGGAAAGGGGAGACTTGCTCATCTTCCTGAGTGGTGTGGCTGAGATTGGGGCCGTGGTCGAGGCGGCACACACCTATGCGGCCCACACACAGCGCTGGGTGGTCCTTCCTCTGCACAGCACCCTCTCCGTGGCCGAGCAGGACAAGGTGAGCCGGACTGAGGGCTGGGCCGAGGCACGGGGCTGGGCCTCCCTTTCCGCCGCTCTGGAAAACAGTGGCTGGGGTGAGGCAATCGGCAGTCTTGTGAAAGGTCCACATGTGCTGCAGGAGGTGGGAGGAGAACAGCGGTTTGCATAAATGTGCCTGGCAAGGGGAGGCTGGCAGGAAGCTTGTGACGCCAGCCCATGGGGCGATGCCGTGTTTTGCCACTCCTTCATGGGCCAGCTGCTTCGTTTCCGCAGAAGGACGTGCCCTGCTTGCCGTGAGCCTCAGCCGTGGCGCGCCCTCTTCCTAGCACGGGGCCGCGTTGGCACATGCACGATCCGATAAGCAGTCGTCCATCTACACCAGCTGCTGACAGATGCCCTGTGGCAAACATGGGCCCGGTTGGCAAGGGCCGCTCATCCGTGGCAAGGCTCTGGGCCGCTTTTGGCGCCAGTTGGCCAGGCCACCCTGCTGCAATAGTGCTGCTTTGGCAGCTGATGTCTGGCTCTGGGCCGGCACCTGCCCTTTGTGGGCAGGCTCGTGGGTATGCATCGCCTTTGCTGTGGCTTTTCCTGGCAGGTGTTTGACATGCCCCCCCCGGGCGTCCGCAAGTGCATCGTCTCCACCAACATCGCTGAGACGTCGGTGACCATTGATGGCGTCCGGTTTGTTGTCGACTCGGGTAAGAGCCCGCCCCGCCTGGCTTCCGATCCCTGAGAAGCCACGCAGTGCCACATGAGCCTTGGCCCATGTGGCCCCGGAGGGGGCACAGCAGGGGGCACGGGAGGGGTAGCCGTCACATCTGCACCCGTGCAGAGGTGGGGTCCTCTGCACGTGCACTCCGCCAGACACCTTCTCCAGGCAAGACTTGGCCTGAGCCAGTCTCGTGTTTCAGGGCTGGGCTGGGGGCTGGTCGGGGCTTCGTTCCTCTTCCTGGCCTCGTGTCTCTTCCTTACAAAGACTGCAAGCAGCACTAGCCGTGCGGAAGCAATTGTGCCTGCGTGGGACGAATGTGGGCCCGAGCGGGGTGCTGCCCTTGCCTTGCCCGTCTGTCGGTAGCCCTTCCTTCCTGGGAGGCCTTGCAGCCCACTGGCTCAGCCTCCACTCTTTTCAGCTGCACTTCCTCTTGGCCTTCTGCTTCGCAGGGAAGGTGAAAGAGCTCAGCTATGACCCCAAGGCCAAGCTGCAGCGGTTGCAGGAGTTCTGGATCAGCCGAGCCAGCGCTGAGCAGCGCAAGGGCCGTGCAGGCCGAACGGGGCCCGGCGTTTGTTACCGGCTCTACGCTGAATCGGACTATGATGCTTTTGCCCCGTACCCAGTGCCGGAGATCCAGCGGGTAGCCCTGGACACCTTGGTTTTGCAGGTGAGGAGCAGGCCACTGAATGGGGCCCCTGTGCCTTGGGGGGCTGGCCTGGCGAGCCCATTTGGCTGGCCGCGTGCCTCCAGCGGCCCTTTCCTTGGTAGGCCCAGAGCTCCCAGCATCACCCTTGGGCGGAGCCCGGGGTACGGAAGGGCCTGCCGGAAGAGCTGGGTGGTCCTGGGCAGGCCTCCGTGCCTTATGGCCATGTTGTGCTCTCTCCAGAAAAGAGGCAGACGCATGGGCTTTGTCCTCTGCATTCAGGCCAGCGGCTCGTGGTGGGAAGCCTGAGGCTTGGAGGGGGCCAGTTCCAGATGGAAGCGCCGGGGACCAGCTTATCTCAGGGCTGCCCCGAGAATGAGGGACTGTCGCTTAGCAGCAGAGCCCTCCGATCGTCTGCCGAAGTGGCCGCTTCCCTTCTAGGCATCTCCAGCGTTCGAGTGGCAGGTGGCATCGGAGGCGGAGCCAGGCAACGCTGCCCAGTGACTTGGTGCAGGTGCTGCTGTTTGCTCTTGAACGGGACTGTGCCTAAAGGGGCCCGTCGTGCCATACTCTCAAGTAATTCGCCGGCTGCCGCGGGAGGCTTCGGCTCCTTTGCCCCGCAGGCTGCCTCCCGCTGCACCGGCCTCACTGTCCTGTTGGCACCAAGCTAAGGCAGCCCCATGTGCTGAGGCATTTGGCAGCTCTGGCTGGCACTGACCGTGGGTGCTGCCAGTTGCTTTTAGCCCGTTAGACCGTATGTGTTCATCTTAGCTACTTTCAGAGGCTGGAATTCAGTTTTAAACTCTCGTGAAACACTTTGCTGATTTTCATGGCAACCTGCGTTTTATCAGTTGCTGTGCCCCTCCCAGAGATCTGGGCTACTGGGCAATAGCAAAGTGAAAATGAGGAGGAGGAGGAGGAGGAGGCTGATGATGTGCTGATTCTCTCCCCTGCCCCCAGATGAAGAGCATGGGACTGGGCAACCCCCGGGCCTTCCCCTTTCTGGAGCCTCCCCCGCGAGCTAGCCTGGAGATGGCCATGGGCTGCCTGAAGCACCAGGGCGCGCTGGACGCGGAAGAGGCCCTCACACCCATCGGGAGCCTCCTGGCTGAGTTGCCTGTGGACGTGGTGATCGGTGAGCGTGGGCTGGCCGTGGGGGAGCGGTGCCAGCGAGGCGTGGCAGGCACTGAGCAGAAGTCGGGCGCCCGTGGCCTGCTCAGCCAGCCAGGCCGGTTGGGCCGCACTGGCACGTCTGGTACCCAGGTTCCCGTGCATCTTCACCGCCCTGGGAATTGCAGCCGGCACCCGCACGGCACAGGCCTCCGGCGCTCACGCGTTACGGACGTTCTGCCGTGGGTTGGCCGGCGTGTTGAGGCTGGGTGGGGCCTGCCCTGTGGCTGAGGGCCTCTGTTCCCCTGCAGGGAAGATGCTGGTCCTGGGGACCCTCTTTGGCCTGGCCGTGCCCACTCTGACCGCCGCTGCCATCCTCAGTGTGCCCTCCCCGTTCCTGCGTAGCAGCAGCGGGCGCAGCGACCCCGACTGTGCCACCGCCCGGCGAACACTGGAGAGCCCGCTGGGGGACCCACTGACGCTGCTGAATGTCTTTGACGCCTGGGTGCAGGTGGGCAGAAGGCGCCGTGGCGTGGCCCTTCCTCTCTGGAGCGCTTCCACTAAGCGGCCTGCCCTGCCGTGACTGGGTGTGGCCTCACGACGGCCCCTGGGGACAGCAGGGCCACCCGGATCCCGCGTCCAGGAGGGAAAGTAAGCCAGGGAGGCCGGCCTGCAGGAGGCAGCCCGGGTAGTCCACGGCCGCACAGAGTCCCTGTTGGCCTCCTGGGGCTGCAGTGGCTGCGCAGGGTGCGGGGTGCTTGGCAGTGTTTATGTCTCTGGAAGGCGCATCCTTCCAGCTTGGCACAGGTGGAGGGAGAGCCTGCGTGGCAGGGAAGCCCTGTCCTTCTGTGCCCCTGCTGACGGTGCCACCGGTCCTTCTCTGGCAGGAGAAATCGGGGAACTCCAGGGGATCTCGCCGTTGGTGTCGACGCCGCGGCCTGGAGGAGCACCGGCTCTACGAGGCAGCGAACCTGCGGCGCCAGTTCCAGGTGAGTGCACTCCAATTCCAGGTGGGGAGCAGGAGTGCCCTCCAGCCGGGCAAGGCAAGCCAGCTAGACGCGGGGGGGGGGGGCATGGTCCAGGTGCTCACTGGCCCTGCAGAGGAGCCAGACTTTGCAGAAGGCTGTGGTGAGGAAGAGGAAGAGCTCAGAGATAGGATGGGGCGGTGGGGGAGGGTCTGCACTTGTTTGCTGAGAAGAAGCTGCCCCTTCCCGCCCCTTGAGCAGGAGCTCCTCCGGGACCACCAGTTGCTGGAACCTGCTGCCCGGGCCAGAGACTCCCACACGCGGCAGAGCCGGCACCGGGAGCGCCAGGAGCTGTACCGGCTCAAGCGGGAGCACGAGCAGGGCGAGGGGCGGCGGCGGAAGGTGCTGCGGCTGTCTGAGCAGGATGCAGAGGGAGGGTCTTCCTCGGAGGACGAACAGGAGGCCAGAGGCAGCCTGGACATCCAGGTGCGTGGGGGGGGGTGGATGCAGGCCAGGCAAGCCGGAGGGCAGGGCCCGTGGTGCCAGCACTGCTCCAGGGCAAGCTCTGCTTGGTGGGTCCTTGGGAAGGGCCCTGAAGATGCCCTGCCTGGAGCGCATCCCTGATTCGGCCCCGCCGGGATCTTGCACGCGTTCCTCAGGGAGGTTCTGGCAGAGCTGGGAACGGGCAACCAAATGGTGGCTGCCCTGAAGGAAAGGTGGCAGCAGCAAAGGGCAGGTGGAGGAGACGTGTGCAGGATGGCAGAGGGGGAGCCCCCTCCCCCTTTTGACGGGAGCGGGTATGGGCTGGCCCCGAGCTGAGAGACACAGGAAGGGCTTTTCCATGTAGCGGTGCTGAGCCACCCCAGGGCTCGCTGCTCCTGGACGGAGTGGTGGGCGGGTGCTTTGCCCTGTCGGGCTTCTGCCGGGGCGCGTGGTTGGCTGCTGCAGGAGTAGGATGCTGGCTTGATCCAGAGTCCAGAGCTGGGACTCTGCTGCTCTCAAGGATCCCAGGCCCAAGGCCGGGAGCTCCTGTGACAAGCAGTCATGGGCAGGGGGTACCCGCCAGCCACCCAGCACTGCGTCTTCGATCCCCCTTGGGGTCACCCCTCTGGCCCCTGGTGACTGCACCCATCTGTGCCCCAGGATGTGAAGTTTCAGCTGCGGCATGACATGGAGGAGCTGCAGGCTGCCTCGTCCCTGGGCCAGAAGCTCTCGCCTGGCCGGCTGGCCCTCCTGCAGCTAGTCTTGGGCCGTGGGCTCTACCCCCAGCTGGCCATTCCCGACCCCTTCAACAAGGCCCGGAAGGACTCGGAGCAGGTGAGTGTGTGCCCCATCCCACTCCGCTGCACGTGCCTCGCCGGTCCTCTCCCCTGTTGCTGGGCTGGGGCCGGGGCTCGGCAGGCCCGGTGGGTGAGTGGCAGGCCAGCTGCCTGGCTCTTTGGGTCACACGGGGCCCTGAGAGCACTGGTGTCACCCTGGGGATTCTGCCCTGAGCCCTATGCCTGTGTTGTGCTTGCAGATCTTCCACACCAAGGAGAAGGTGGGTGTCGTCCTGCATCCCTCTAGCGTGTTCACCAAGATGCCCGAGCTGCTCCATCCGGGGCAGGAAAGGAGCTCCAAGCCGGGAGAGCACAAAGGTAACAAAGGGGCCACTTGCTTCCCTTTTGGGGGCGATGTGGCGGGGGACCCTGGCGAGGGCGCCGCTGCTGCTTTCACCCTGCTTCTGGAGAGGCCCAGCAGGCCAGGCGGAGCACTCTGGGGGCCGGCCAGGCTGGGGCCCTGCAGTTCTGCGGACAGGACAGGAGCGGAGCCGGCTTGGGTGCCTTGCTCTCGCCTGGCAGTGGGGTGGGCAGGGCCGGGGGGCGTTGCTGAGCTCCCCGTGGCTCCTGTGGGAGAGCTCGCCTGCCAGCCTGGGAAGAGGCAGCTGTGGGTGGGACTCCACGCCCTCCGTGGCCACGGCTGGGCAGGCTAGCCCCGGCACGTGGCTGGCAGTACCTGCTCTGTCTGGGCTTCAGTGGGAGGGCGGCCCGAGGAACCACCTGTGCTCCGCAGAGGCTGAGCAGATGACGAGCAGCCGGCACCAGATCCTGGCATTTGTCTCGCTGCTGGAAACCAACAGGCCCTACCTGGTGAACTGTCTGCGCCTTCCTGCCTTGCAGGTAAGGGGCTTCCTGGGCCTCATCCGCCTCCCCGGATCCCAGGAGGCCTGGTGCCCGAGGCTAGCTCTGCTCTCCCGCCCCCCACAGGCCCTGCTGCTGCTGGCACAGTCCTTGGACACCAACGCGGATTGCACATGCGTCGTGGCCGACTCGTGGCTGGAGCTGCAGATCCCCTCCGTGGAGGCAGCCGTGCGGGCAGTCAGCACAGCTCTGCGCCTCCGGGGCTCCTGGGAGAAGGTCCTGGACCAGCAGCTGGAAAGCCGGGCTGGCCCAGGCCCAGGCCCAGGCCCAGGCCCAGAGACGGGAGCTGAGAAGGAGCCACCCAGTGCCCAGGAGGTGCACCGGCTCACTCAGGAGTTGCTGCAGTTTCTGAGCACAGAGGTGGGCTTGCCTCACCGGTGGGGCCCAGCTGCCCATTCCCTCGGTGGTGCCCGGGGCCTGTGGGTGGTTCCTGCGGCGCGTGCAGGAGGCCTCCTGTCCGTCTGGCGGGCAGCTGGGTCCTGGGGAGGGGTGGCAGGCTGGTCTGTCCCCAGGGCCCTGGGGGAGCCTCTGTGGCTGGGCTGGATGGGCCCAGCTCTGCCCTGCAGGCTGGGCCTGAGGACGCTTGCCCTCCCTGGCCAGGTGCCGCACAGCCTCCGGCGACTGACTCCCCTGGAGCGCGAGAGCCTCTACGTGGGCCCACAGACGGTGGCTGCAGGAGCCGCAGGTCTCCCTCCCCTCCTCCGAGGGGTAGAGATGGTCCCCAATGAGGTGAAGGGGGGCTACAGCATTGGCAGCTTCTTGACCTTCAACTGCCTGGCGGTGAGTCAGTGCATGGGGCTTCTGTGCCCCCATTCCGGTCCTGGAACTGGGGAGGAGGGGGCTTGCTGGTTGGCTGTGCGAGCCAGCCTCACTCCTCTGCCCTGCAGGGCGAAGGCGACCTCTACAGGGACTGCCTGCGCAGCTTCTGGACCTGCCCGCAGTGTGGCCTTTACATGCCCTTCACCCCCCTGGAGCGAATGGCCCACGAGGATGCATGCCAGTCACTGGGCCCACAGGGGGAGCACAGCCCCGAAGGTGAGTCGGGCGCGAGGCGGCCGTTCCCCTTCCTGGCCGCGGCTGGCCCTTGGGCAGGCCCCTGCTCTGACTGTGCCCTCCCTGCCAGGCCTCGCCCGCGATGCCCCCGGACCCACTCCTGCTGCCTCCCCGTTGCGGCAGCCGTACTCCTGTGCCGACTGCCAGCAGAGCCTTCTTCTCACCCCCACCGAAATCCTGCGCCACCGGAAGCAGCACCAGCACCGCCAGTGAGAGCGACGCAGGACTCGGGACGGATAGGGAAACCGTGGCACCCTCAGCGGGGGCTGCACCTGGTGAGAGGAGGCACCGGCCTGACAGAGCCTTACCGGGACTCCTCCTGTCTGGGGGATTTGGCCCTGGTGTCACTGGTTCTGCATCCTCTTGCAGGCAGGCGGGCTGCCTGTCTGCAGCGGCACCCCAAGGCCTGGCGGGGCAGGTACTGATTTATCCAGGTGATTAAAAAAATGCATGGATGCAACCAGTCCCACCGCCCTGGCCTGTCCTGGCTCCTCTGGGGCCTCCCTGGGGGGAGTGGAGCGGCTGGAGGGTTCCACTGGATCGGCCGAAGGGGCGAGGCGGCTCGGGGCAGTCCGCGTGTGCCTGGGACAGGTGATGCCTGCCAGGGCCAAGGCTCAGGCCTGCAGTCCCCCGAACCTGAACTCGGGCGTCAGGTGCGCGCCTCCCAGGTGGACTGCTTGGTGGCAGAAGGCAGGGCTGCTCGGCTGTCCTCTCGTGAGCCTGAGTCTGCAGCGGATGGAGCAGGAGGGGGCCCGGGGCCCTGCTAGCCGGAAGGGCGTTTCTCCCCACTGTGGAGGGGTGTGGGGCGTTCGGCCCGGGCCCCCGGGGGCTCTGCTTTGCTGGGCTGTCACTCCAAGCCTCAGTGAACAGCAGCCCAGCTCAAGGGAGCGAGGCCCCGGGTTGGTTGCATGGCCGGCATCGTAACGGGCTGAATTTTAATAGACACAATTAAAAGCGGTTCTTCTCGGCACATTTGCCAAGTGTGTCGTGTGCAGTACGCACCTGAGAGCCGCCTGGGTGGAGCTAGAGGCCCCCCTGTGAGCGCGCCACACGGGGGACCTCCCCTGGCAGGAGTGGGCGCTTCGCCTGGGAACAGCCGCCTCCACCACCTGCGTCTGGTAGCACTGCCACGGAGTGCTCTTCTCTGTTCGGGTATAAATGTATCAATAGGACCTTCCTATATATATTGCTTCATTCGGTCTGCTGAAATTAAGCTTTTTATAAGCAGGTCTGAAAAGAGAAGTTTGAACTGATCGTGTATTTTTTCTCCATAGAAGGAATTCCACTCTCCTTCTTTGCCTTTGTTTTATCTCTTTTCCATTTGCAGTATCATAAACATCTTCCAGGCTTATTTGCTTGTTCAAAGTATTTTTGTTTTTTAAAAAAGTTTCTTCTGCACTTCCTCTATCTCTATCAGATTTACTTGATTTCTTCATTATCCAAGTTCAATTAAAATGATTCGTTTAAAGACTTCTTATGACAGTCCTCTGATATTTGTATTCTTTCGAGGAGCTGTGTAGTTTGTTCTAGTTTTTCTCTTTTCTTCTTTGAGGCCATTGCTATTAAATTCCCCCTCATACATGCGCCCCTGGCTTTCACACGGTTGTTATGGAGACATCAGCTGCATTATTCGATCCAAAGGCTCCTTCACATTTCTTCAGTATATCGTTTTGTATTAGGAGGCTGTCATTCAATCTCATCTTCCAGCTCCCAGTTGCTTATCTTGACAGAAATTTCTAATGGGTGGTGGTCTGAGAGTATCTTAGATTGAGTCCTTGCAGTCTTTTAAGTTCAAGATGAAAGTTTCGATATCCAGCACATATCTATCCTTGAATATCTCTGATGTGTATCCGAGAAAAAGGAGTAATCTCTTGTTTTTAGATTTTGAAATCTCCACGCACCTTCCAGGCACTATTACCATATAGCTGAAAACATATTTAGGAAGTTTATCCCCTTTCATTTTCTTTGAATTGTCTTTATTGGGCACTAAAATTCCATTCACATCACCACAGATCAGTTTTTAATCTTCCTGAAAATCCGTAAGTGATTGGAATTTTTAATAGAGTTTCTCTTTTGCATCATCTATTGCATATATTGTCGCCAAGATAAGCATCTTTCCATTCAGAAATCTTATTTAAGAATGATTAATTGTGCACCTGGGTTCCTCAATTCTTCTGCAACATTCAGGCTTTGATTATTGACATAAATCACAACCCCTGTCTTTTTAGTGCCAGCTAAAACTTCATATATCCTGCCCAGTTTCTTGCATTTTAACATGTGAGCATATTTTTTCTTTATATGGGCTTCTTGAATGCATATTACACCTACCTTTTCCCTTTTTTAGGCAATTAAACACTTTGCCACTTTGAGAAGGGGAGGTCAGTCAGCTAATGTCTATTGACAGGATGTTCATGTTGGCTTTTTACTCTGAAGCTATTGCTCAATATAATTTCTTCTCCTGCTTAGTTGCAAAGTTAGTCTGTCAGGTTCTCCACCCTGTTCAGAGAGTAGGATTCATAATCGTCCGCATGAGTTTTGAGCCTCTTGATCTTGCTGCTGAACATCTCTAATGCCATTGTGTATTTCTTCCTCTGCTTCTTGGTGTCACAGTTTGATTCTGAAATTACAAGAGAACAGCCTCTTCCAAAATTCTGTAACATAAATATTAATTCATTAGAGAAAAATAAAGGGAGGAACAGGCAATGAATAAAAAAGTTTAAAAGAAAGACAAGAGAAAGCATGGGGAGAAAGAAAAGATAAAGTTAGCATATTTGGGGTATGTAAAACTCCCAAGAGTGTTAGATTAATTCCACGTTAGTCAATTGTTAATTATTGTTAGTCCAATATTAATATGAGTTAATTTATCCAGAAAGAGATCACGTTTCTTTTCTGGTGACACTGACCAGTTCTCCATGGATCTGTGAGTCAGCTGAGCAAGCGTTCTTCTAATCTTCGAGATGCTTTCAGATGAGTCTTCCCAAGTTCATTTTTCCCAAAGACCAGCAGATGGTACCAATTGTACAATAACACAATCATCAAATTAGAGAAAATTTAACTGCGTCGTGCTTATTGTTTCTCCTCAGAGGGAAATGGGTAACAAGAATGAAGATAATAAATCCAGAGTTCCCCCTTTGCCCAGAAATGGGCCCTCCAGGAATCGACTTTCAGGGCAGATTCTGCAGGTCCGTTTCCGGCCATCTATTAAGCACAATGGTTTCTTTGCCTTGTTCTCACATTTTCAGAGAAAAAAGGAGGATTGGTGCCTGGTCAGAGACCCCCTCCCCTCCCCCCACACACACAACCACCAAGTACCGATCGTGGCAAACTGCTCAGATCAATGACCATCAACATGCGGCCAGGCATTCATAGGCTCCTGATATAATCCACAAATGACTTTATAGCTTTATAACTTTACGACCCAGTTAGCAGTTAGATGGAAAGCAGCTGGTCAGGCATTGGCTCTGTTTGGGTAAACAAAAGATTGTTTTCAAAGTCCCTTTTGCTGAAAATTGCAAGCTAAAGTTCCTTGGCTTGTAGGTGGATAAAAAGGGAAAGAAAAAGAAAAAAACATCTGGAAGGCAATTTTAAAACAATTCCTTGATTACCTTATCCTGGTGTCTTGATGGTATCGGAACTGATCAGGTTTCTGAAAAAGGCTAATCTGATCACTGGTCAACAGATCTTCATCTTGAAGGGAAGCTTTGGTGGTGTTTGCTTTTACACAGGCTGCTGACCAGGTAGGACAGAAGATGCCTCGCAGCTGTCTCAGCAAACTGCCATCTTGCCCCCAGTTTGAGGCAAACTGGAAGTGCCATCGCACCGAGCAGCTGGGTGAGCTTGGACTGATCATGGCCTCAGAGCCAGCAGGGTGTCCTCTGGCCACTTCCTGAAGGTGCCTGTGCTCCATGCAAACCAAGCATGGAAGAGGCCCATTGCTGCAGCCAGCTGGATCTTGCCCAGACACCCTCCCCCCGGTAATGCTGAAGAAAAGTGCCTGCGTGAATGGCCCGCTTGCGGGGGTGGGGGAGTGGTTCTGCCTCTCTTGCTCATGCACTTTTGGTGCCCCAGTTAGATCCTTGCACAGCACTCGATATGTGATCAGCACAGATCCCTGGAGAAGGAAACACACCCACCTCCGTTGCAAGCGCTCCGACCCTTTCAAAAGGCTGCCCAAGACAGAACCGTCTCTTCCGTCATGGCCCCCTCCGAGCACCAGCACGAGAAGGAAGTCGGCCACTCCCCCTTGCCTTGCGCTGAGCTGAGTCTTTCATCCAGATATCAATTACGTATGAGAGCAGAAAAGGCACTTCAAAGCCAGGGCATTTTTAATAGGAGCTTAACTGCCTGACATCAAAAAGAGATGGGGTGGGGGGGGGAATCTCTTCAGCTGGCAAGAACAGGCCCCTCTCTTCCTTTGTCTCTCTGCTTTTCTTTCGCCTTTGGAAACAGCAGCAAAACTGCCTGGAATATGGGACATCGCAAGGCCGTACGAATCATTTCAGGAAATAGGTGCTTGCCCCAGCTCAGTGGCTGGGTTACACGTTTTTCTATTCTGGGAGAATAAAAATGTCAACTGAGGAAAGGAGGGAGAGGCCTGTGGGCCAGGGCAGTGCGCTCAGCCAGGCCTCCTCTGGGGAGACCCAGCTGGATGTCCCCCTCCACAGAGTTGCCCTCCCTCCAGGCCAGAGAGCGGGTCACCTTGCGCTGTGCTCCAAGCCCAGCACGACGTGCCCTTCCCTTCTCCCCCATCGCTTCCCTGCCTGTGCAGCTGCTGCTGCTGGCGCTGGAAGAGCCGGGGCACTCAGAAGTGATGGGGGGGGGGGAGCTGGGACAGCAGCCCAAAGTGCCCTCTTGGCATCCCGGCCCCTCATTCACCCAGCCCTCCAGTGCCCCTTGCCCTGCCCTCAGGTCCTTTGCTTCTGCCTTCTCCATGGTACTGAACCAGCACGTGGTGGTGGCTGCTCCGTCCAGATGCCCATTCAGAGCCTCTTTCCGCCTCAGTCCCCCCCCCCCCCACAGAGTCCCCCGTGCTGCTTCTGGGAGCAGTGCCCAACTTAAACCCAGCACTGCACTTGAAGAGGGTGGATCATTTTCTGCCCAGGGGCATCACTCTGTGCTTGCCCGAATCGAATTTCACCAGCCCAGCCCAGCCCAGCCCAGCATTGCCCAGCCACCCAGCTGGCAGCTCTTCCACCAGGGCTCCTCGCTCAGCCACTGAATGATCTTGCATTGCCTGCTCTGTCTGGCCCCACAGCCTCCTCTCTGCCTTCAGAAAAGCTGCACTGCCTGGCCAGGAGCTCCTGTGGGCTCCCCTGTGGGGCAGGCCATTCTGTCCCAAATCTGGCTTGCTTTCGCCTCCTCCATGCCCACAAAGGAATGGCCGGCTCTAGGAAGACATTCTGAGAACCACCCCTCATGTGGCTGGTGGGGCTGATCCTGAAGGAATGGCCCCGGTGGAGCGGTCCCTCTGGGGAGTCGCAGTGTGTCCCTCACCCTGGCCGGAACGGGGGTGCTTCCGGGCTTCTGCGTGAGCGGTGAGGCTTGCTGCCAAGTGATGCCCATGAGCGTGAGGCCAGACTCCTTGCATTCCCCACGCAACAGGGAGAGCGGCACTGGGTTTGACTCCGTGCACAAACTGGTAAGAAATCTGAGTCTTTGTAGTCTTCGGAGCACTGGGGGAACTGACCTTGCAGCTTCTGACAGAGCCCAGTGATTAGCTCTTCATAGCAATGGGATGCCGAGTCCTCAGGCCCAGGCTGCTCAGCGGCCCACCGGCTTTCTCCACCCCCACTCCACATCCTGCTGGGCACGTGTGCGCCTTTCTTAACAACTCGCCGAAGAGGCAGGCTCTGGGGAGGAGGAAACCCAGGCGTCCATCCCGCATCAGTGAAGACGTCCACACAGGCTAGGCTGGGAGCCCTGGCGTGCCTGCCTGCTCCTGGGCTTCCCCGGATTAGCCAGGAAAGCTGGAGGGGCAGCCGGAGAGGCCGGGCGCCGGGGCTCCGGTGTCGGGGCCCTTCTGCTTTCGGGGCAGCAGCAAGGCCGGCCCTGCTCGGCGCCAGCACCACGGACAGCGGCTCTCCTGAGGCTGCCTTGCGCTGCCCGACCGCAGCCCCCGGTGGAAGGCCGACGGCGGCTGTTGCAACGGCGCGGGCTATTCCGTTCCTCCTCGCCTCGCCAGCAACCCCCGAGCACTGGCCGCCTCCCTTTTCACACAAACCACGAGCAAGAAATGTAGTCATATATATAGTACATTTGAAAAGTGCACTATAACTGTTATTTAGTGGGTGGTACACAGAGAAGTTACAGCCATAAAACACCAGATAAGATTTTTTAAACGTGGCAAGAAAACAACACAAGATAAAAGCAAGATCATACCAGCAAAAGAGATAAAGTGATGCCACAGAGATAGGCGCATGTGTACCGTAAGTAAAAGTGGCCGTATGGAGAAAACAGCAATGATTTAAAAACACACAAGCAGTTACATGCTGAGAAAATAAAAAGGACCCAGAAATGGTGCTGAAAATTCACTTTCAGGGCACCAGAGCGAGCCTCTTTGGCCCCTCCAAGAGGCATTCCACAGATGGGTGTCACTGCCGAGGCGGCCCCTTCGGTATCATCATATTCCGCTCCATCAGCAAATCTGTCTGCACAGAGATGGGTACTGCGAAAGGTGCCAGTTCCATCTCATATGCGTCTATCCACCTGCCGGCCAGTCTATCTGCCTGTTGATCAACATCTCACACATGTCTTTGCCCCAGAAAACTATTGACAAATCAGTGTTGGTTAGAAAGCCTTGGTTACTAACCACCTTGAAGGGCCAGTGTGGCCTAGTGGTTAGAGTGTTGGACTGAGGCTCAGGAGGCTGGTTCTGGCCCTTGCTCTGACTGATACATGCAGGGAAGGTTTGGTGAAATCGCTGTATCTCAGCCCAACCCATCTCCCACGGCTGTGGGCAGATAAAATGGAGAAGGGAAGGATTGCAAAAACTGCCTTGACTCACTTGAAAGATGAACAAGGCAGAATATAGATGCAACATATCAACCAACTAACCACTAACCAACCACACCAGAGGTCTCATCCTGCTGCCGCTTTTCAATCCATGCTGCTCAGAGCTCCTCCAATATACTTCCAGTTGGGATCTCTGCAGTAAGGAGTTAATCTAGCAGAGCTCATGGGGGGGCCCTGCTAAGGCTCTGGCTCAGCTCCAGTCCTAAAGCAGCAGGAGGTAGAGGCAAAAGACATGAATGGGCGCGTGGTCCAGCGGGCTTCCAGATGGTGTGGTAGAAAACAAGACGTGGCAGAAGGGTCGCAGCTGGAGGTAGCAATGTCCGAATGCCGCACAAGATCCTGAAAGGGTTCAGGGGGATTGCCCCACTGTGGCCTTCTCTGGACACCCCCCGGTTTCTTTTCCTGGGGCTGGAGAGGCAGAGGCAACAGTCTCAGTGCCACAGAAGCAGCAGAGAGGAAGCAAACAGGTTCTGTTGCCAGGTAACAAGCCAATTGTTTTGTGAGACAATGGTTTCATTGAGGAATCTGCAAAAATCCTCTCAAAACAGCTCCAAGGTCCTCTTTCTCCTTCCCCTTGTGCAGTAAATGACTTTAGCAGGGTGAGTGCAGTCTCCTTGACTGAACAATGGTTGGGGCATTTCATTTTGTCAGAGCACCAAAACGTGGCTTCCAGCCATCTGGGCATGTGGGAGGGTTTCAGGAGCTGCTTCCTGAGGCAGTGGAGGTGGGGATGCAGGATGCATGCATAGAAGGACCACGCCACCAGACGAAAGACTGCTCCCTCTGTGTACTGAGGACATGGACCCCGTGCTGCAGAGGTGTTGGTCTGCCCCGCCCTGGGGTTTCCTCCAGATGTCTCTTTGCTGCTGAGCCACGGCTGAGCAGACACCTCACAGGGGCTGCTAAGGCTGGGTGGAGGCACCCAAGCGCCTCCTGGGAAGCCGGCCAGCTTCATGGCCCGGCAAGAGCCCCCGGCTTCTTTTGCAGGACACGAGGAGAAGGCTCTGGCTGGGGCTCACTGTGATTCTGCCGCATGCACATCAA